CAGAGCAGTGAAAAATTTGAGTTACACAACATTCACATTCCCAGCTAAAGTCAAACAAGGTGATGGTCTTCCTTCTTTCTGCTCTCATATTTAGTGTCCCTTTGGTCTTCTACTTAGTACCAGTTTTTTTTTTTTTTTTTTCTGCTTTGTACTTTCCCTTGGTTATTTTGTTGTTTCAGACAGCCACCGATTATAGTGCTGAAGTGCTCTGTCGTGTTCCTATGCCCAAGAAGTCTGTGATGTTCCTTACAGAGAAAGTACATGTGTGCTATAAGCTTCTTTCAGGCATGAGTTATAGTACTGTTGGCTGTGAGCTCAATGTTAACAAACCAATAACACATAATAAATAAGGGGTCTTTAAACAGAAATACACATAAAAGGAGTTATGCATTGATTAGTTGATGAAAATGTTGTGATCGGAGACTCACAGGAACCTAACTCTGTATTCCTCTTGGGAACTACAGTTCAGCAGCTGTTAATTTAGTATTTGCAGTCAATTTATAGAACATAACTACCAGGGTGCCTGGGTCGCTCAGTCGTTAAGTGTCTGCCTTCGGCTCAGGTCATGATCCCAGGGTCCTGGGATCGAGCCCTGCATCGGGCTCCTTGCTCAGTGGGAAGCCTGCTTCTCCCTCTCCCACTCCCCCTGCTTGTGTTCCCTCTCTCGCTGTGTCTCTCTCTGTCAAAAAAATAAATAAAAACTTTAAAAAAAACCCCATAACTACCAAGTAAAATGAGAATTGACTACATATAACATGAAATTTTATATGCATTATAAAATATATAAAAATACAACAGACCATACCAATATTAATAAAAGAAGTAGTGTCTGACATTTACTGAACAGTTTCTACAGCAAGAAACTAAGTATTTTTATATATGATTTCATTTGTTACCTCCTTGAGGCTCTATTATTTCTCCCATTATACAGCTGAGGAAATTGAGGCCTAGAATATTGTGTAAATCACATACCTGTGAGTGGTGGATACCAGAGCAGTCTGATTTCAGAGCCTTCCTCCATTAACCAACAGTTTTGCCTCTTAACATTGATTTATTGTTTTGATTCAGCAGGCAATCAACAACCAGTGTTAAGCATTGGGGTAGGAGCTGGAGATGGAGCTGGGAACATGAGGGCCCTGGTCCTGTGTCCTGTCCTAGCCTCACATATACTAGTGAGGATACAGGCAAGTTAGTATCCATTTTAAATAATAAAGCTCTATTATTTAGTAAAAGGGAAATATGAGGTGATGTGAAAGCTCATGGCAGGGGCACCTAATCAAAGCTAAGGGTGTCAGGAAGTGTATTCTGGAGGAAGTAATATCTAAACTAACCCTTCACGCTCTATGGAAGATTACCAGTAAAAGAGGTGAGGGAGTAGAGTTCCAGGCAGAGGAAGTCAATATGTGAAGGTCTAGGGGCAACCCAAATAAGTCTAGTTCAAGGTAATAAAAGAAATCCCTTTTCTCTCTCTCTCTGGTTCTCTCCCTCTTTGGAGTGCTGTGTGTGTGTGTGTGTGTGTGTGTATTTATGTGGCAAATATTAAAAGATGAGCCTGGGTCATTGGGGGATAGATTGTAAATGGCTTTGTAAGTCTATTAGAGATTATGGACCTCATGTTAAGAGAAATTGGGAAGCACCAGTAGATCTTAGGCAGGGAAGAATTATTATATCATATATATATGATAGTGTACTTTGCTTTCTGATGGCACTGGCATCTTCCATTCCTTTGTCAAACACACTGACTGACAGGTAATGCACACGCAGTTAGCGGGATACACCTTCCTGAATGTTTGCTTGGTTTGGCTCTCCCCGGTCGGTTTGTGTGTGTGCTAAAAGTCAGTTATGTTTGCTCCTAAACTTGTTTTTGCCAGTTCTATGTATTTTAAGGAATCAATGAAATATAAATTTGAACAAAGTGTATTTTTCTATGAAAACAAAGTTTAATACTAACTGGGTGAAAAATTGTAAAATTTGGGAAAATTTTTAAATAGAAAGATCTGGCACTCAGATTGCTTGTCAAGAGTGTTTAAGAATTCCTTCCACTTAAACTGCAAGTAATAGAGGTGTATTATAATTGTGGTTTATGACTTCAAAGTATGGTTACATACTTAAAAACAATCTTGGTCCTACATCAGAAGATGGGTAAATAAATGTACATTTGCTTATTTTAAGGTAAAACAAGCAGTTTAAAACATATTTAAGACATACTGATTTTTTTTGTCTCTTGACCAACTTTTTTTGATTCAATACTAGCCCTGGTTGCATCAGATAATATGACTTTTGTATATTGTACAGAAATTAGGCATAAGCTATATGAGTAATGGAGCACTTAAAAATCATCTAAAAACCGTCTTGATAGACAAAGCTTATTTCTTTAAACAGTCCATAGTATTGAAGGATCTGATGGCCACTGTCTACTGGGGCCATGAAATCAGTGGCTTTGCCCCTGGAAGGTCAGTTTCTAACATATTAAAGAAGACTTGGCCACCATAAGGCATATGATAGCAATCCTGGCCACATTCCTTTCCTTCTGATCTGCCAGTCAGGTTTTTGGAGCTGTTTCCATTTTCTCCTTTCCTCTCTCCAGGAGCGGAGGTAACTTGGAAGAAAATGCAACAAAAACAGCTTGATGAGGCTAATAAAGGCTCTCTGCATTCAGCCTCCCACCCAGTAGCTCCTGCTCACACAGGCAAGGCAAAGCTGTGATTGAACAATGGTGTTTAGGGTGAAGGGCCTCACTTTTTGCATCTATTTTCCAAAACTTACATAGCTCACATGGTTCCTTTTGTCTAAAAACTACTAAAAAACAATACAAACTCATGTAAAAGTTTTCAACAGTGCAGAAAAATGAAATCACGTATTACTAGCTCAGCCTCGGCAAGACAGTAGCTAGCCTCTCTGATTCTCAGTGTTTCCATTTGCTAAACAGGATGATGAAAGCTCTTTTGTAGGATTGCTCTAAGGACACAGTGAGATTACATACATAAAATGCCTATTTTTTTATTATTATTACTAATATTATTTTCTTTGTGGTTATATAGGTATTATTTTCATACCCTTGAGCAAAGAATAAATTTCCACTACTGAGAAGTTTGGTTTTCTTTTTCCAGGAAGTTGGAAACATTGGGAGGACCACGCAGAAAAATGGTGTCGGGGCGCCTGGGTGGCTCTGTCATGTTCCCAGGGCCCCTGGGATCGAGCCCCGAGTCGGGCTCCCTGGTTGGTGGGGAGCCTGCTTCTCCCTCTCCCTCTGCCGATCCCTCTGCTTGTGCTGCTCTCTCTCCTCTTTCTCTCTCTATCATATAAGTAAATAAAATCTTTAAAAAAGAAAAGAAAAATGGTGAGTGTGGAATGGGACAATCCAATCAGCCAAATCAGCTAAATCAACTATGATGGTAAATGATGTGATGTCACCATCAGATCACATTTGCATTATCCTAGGAGATGTCCGGAGTGTCCACAGGCACTCCAAAAGCAAAGAGGCCACAACTGAACACGCATGGCCTCTCATCTACTCTGCAGTCCATACAGCCAGTTAATCTTCATGATGCCATTAGTAGCCACCCAAGATCTCAGGCTGACAATTTGGGTGTCTTTCTCCTTCTCCGTTCCCCACCCAAACAATCAACTATCTCTGTTGATACTGGCCCTAAATACTGAATCTGCCATGACTTTCCTCTCCTTTCATTTCCAAGACTTCAGCATCTCCTCACCACTTTGGGGAACACCTCTAAATTGGCCTCCTCTCCTCCAATCTATCCTTTTGTAATCCATCTTCCATACTGATAGCGAAGTGATCCTGCTAGGCGGACTGGTACCAAGTCCCTTCCCTGACTGGTTTCTTTCACTACTTCATAATCACCTGCAGCCTAAATTTCAATTTCCTTATGTAGCCACCGCAGTTATTACAGGAATTAATGTATATGAAGTGCTTAAATAGTGCCTGGGTACAGTAAATTCTATAGAAGTGTCTGCTATTATTTTTTTTTTAATGACCTCATTTTCATTCCCCTTTTCGATCTAAAACATTGTCACTCTGTCACAATCATTGCTCACAACTTTCCAAGCACACGGTGGGTGCTATTACACACCTCTGGGCTTCACACACACACACACACACACACACACACACACACACACACACACTGCTCCAGTTTTTAGACCACCTGGTTGCACCCATCTATGTGTGGAACTCTTATTCTTTACAAGCCCGCCTCCCCTGGTGTTCCATAGTGTGCTCCCATACACCACATAATTTCTTCCAAATTCAGTGCAACCTTCGCACGTTGTAGTATGTTTCCAGGGGCAACCACCACACTGAATGGTGATTTGCTTATATATTGCCCTAACAGGTAGGAGTTCCCAGAATGCAGGGATTTATCTTGCTTATTTCAAGCCCCTGACTAAATGCCAGCACATAGTAAGCACCTAGTACTCATTTAGGAAATGTTTTTTTGAACAAATGAAAAGTGTATGCTACAATCAGACAAAATGTAATTAAGAATATTCGAGAACATAGAAGTTCCCACTTGAGCAGAAAGAGGAAGTTAAAATCGGTAGAACTGCGGTTTAATTGTTAATCAATCATGGCTGTGATGCAGCAAAGCCCGTATGGCTAAGAGGTCCCGACTAATTGATCCGTGGGTGCTGCGTTAAGTGTTTTAGGAGAGTAATCCATACACCACCTTCTCCTCTACTGTGGGGTCAGGTGGTGGGAATTTTATTCACATTTCTGCAAAATTTCCAGGTGTCTCCGTAGGGCTGGAGGAGCTGAACGCCGACCAGCGCCCGGAAAGGCTCTTTGTCATGAACCCTCGGAGGCCGCCACCCGGCCCAGCGCCCCAGCACTGCGCGGAGCCCATGCCCCCGAGCAGCTCCGCCGCGGTGACAGCGGAGCCGCGGCCCCGGGCTCCCGGCGCGCCCCGCCCTGCGCATCACGTGCGCCAGGATGCCAACTTCCCCCTCCTCCGCCGCCCCCTCCCCCTCCGCCGCCTCCGGCCTCCTCCTCCTGGAGAGGGCGTGCGAGGCAGACCGCGAGAGCGGCAGCGAGGGAGCGAGCGAGCGGGCGCTGCCGGAGCCCGCAGCCCGGGCGTGCGCCGCTGCCGGGAGCCCCGCAATATGCCGCCGCGGCCCTCTGGCTCTCGGCCATGGCGAGGCTCAGCCGGCGCGTCCCTTGTACCCTGCTGCTCGGCCTGGCCGCGCTGCTGCTGAAGGCGCGGCTGGTCCCCGCGGCCGCTCGAGCCGAGCTCAGCCGCTCCGACCTCAGCCTCATCCAGCAGCAGCAGCAGCAACGGCAGCAGGAGGAGGCTGAGGAGGAGAGGCCAGAGGTGCCGGGGGCATCCTCCACCGTCGCTGTTCCAGGTAGGTCCCGGCAGCCCGGCCCTGCCTTCCCATCACCGCGGGGGATCTCGGCTCGCGTCGCTGGCCTCCTCGCCCCTTCCTTAGCCAGCTCGCTTCCCATCGCTTGTCCCTACCCATTCCCGTCTCCCCGATCTCCCCAGACTGCCTGCCCAGGACTCGGGCTCTGCTCTGGTTTCGGGAAACTGCCCTCTGGGTGGTGAGCTTTCTGGGAAGCGCGGAGCACTGCAGTAGGGTGGGGGAGGAGTCGGGAGGAGTAGGGGTGAGTGACTGCCTTGATCGATCTTTTTCTTTTCCCTTTCTTCTTCCTGAATTCTTCCCTCTGCCTTGAGAATGACGCGCGCGCCTGCGCGCACACACACACACGCACGCACCTCAAATCCCTTTAGCATTCTGTTCTTTATCCTTTTCTTTCCTAGAGACTGAAAAATCTTGCAATAGACACCCACACGCCTTTTCATCATCTCGCCCCGCCTGCTATATTTAAATTTAGATCTGGAGAAAGAAATCTTGATATTTTATTTTTCATTTCTGGCTTTTCTTATCCCAGGAAGGGTTTAAGTCAGTTTGCAAGAATTCCTTCAATATAATAAGATGAAATTAAACAAAATGGAACAGGATTTGTAATTGAAGGAAAAGGGAAAAGAAGAGGGGGACCGGTAAGATAAAGTCTGTAGTGATGTTAGTACAGCAAAGCCTGCCTCCAGAGAGGGTAATCTCCTTACTTGTTAGTAGAACTTAATGAGTCCGATTCTCGACGCTATTCAGTGAGGGTGCGGAAATACACTGTAGAATATGTGGCCGTTAACAGTCCCTCAGTTCCCGCCCTCCCCCCCATTAAAGCTCCAGGGTAAAGAGAAAGCTGGACTGTCCATTTTAATAACCTCTCCCCACCCCCACCCCAGTTCCCTTCCCTGCCGTAGAGGCTGCCTGCTATTTAGAAAGAAAAAAAAAAAAGCCATCAGTTTTTGTGGCAAGTGGGCTTAGTTTCCTGCAAAACCAAAGTGAATTATATTTTAACATTTGTTTTTGTTTTAAAATCCTGCCTGGTAATATATAAGATGTTGAAAATGAGATTTCAAAGAGTGGAATCAGCCTCTTATTTTGTACCGCTTGCTCATCATCAAAGCACTACTCAGGCACCGCAGCTGCGGTCCATGACAGGATGATTTAATTTATCAGAGTGCTCTGAGCAGAGGATGAAATCACCAAGTGTGCAGGAAAGCATGTGTTTCTGACACCCTCTTAAACCAATTAATAATACTCAAGCGGGTTAGAAGTCGTGAAAGATACGCAGTGTATGATGGTTTTCCTAGGTAGCTTTTATAACTGAAAGTGCTACCAACATGGTTTGGGCGAGGCTGTTGTTAGATATGCCCTTTGCTAAACTTAAGGAAATTAAAGCTAGAAGAGCAATTGAGAGCCTGTCTTCATTATGAGAGGGATTTCAGAAACCAATGACAAAACAGAATTCTGAGAGAGTGTTGATGGATTCTGTGGTTTGCTGTGTATTTTTATTTTGATATATCTTCTTTCAGGAATATTAATTAGGTAAATGGGTTTTGACTACTATGGTATATGTTGTGATGAAGGTTATGAAAAACTACAATCATAGGACAACTTTTGTATTGAGCTGCAAATTAAAATACTTGTTTTCTGATATTCGTGAAAATATTTTTGAAAAAGGTTGTTGTTTGGGAAACTCGCAGTTTTTGTCTTATTTACGTATGAGATTAATCAAAATAAAGGAATCACTAGCAGATAAAACTAGAGCCTGAAAAGTAACGGATTATGACTCTTGCTTTTCCCTCAAAAAACGAACTCCCCAAAGCCCGTGGCAAACAAGAGAGCAATTCAGTTGATTGTGATTTTAGTTACTGGAATACTGTGTCATATAACGAAATACAACCAATAAACAAACGAGTTAAAATATTCCTCTGAGCACATTGTGATCTCTGGATTGAACTGGTCTTCCTGTTTCAACCTTTGTTCCTTTAGTGTCTGTTCTCCTCTCACAGCTAGTGATCTTTTGAAAAACATTCCATAGGATCATTTCTGCCATCATTTCTGCCCACAGTCCTCTGGTGGCTGCCCTGCTCTTTCACACTAGATGGCCAGACACTGAAAATGGCCCATGGAGGCTTAGCTCCTCCCTGTGCCCCTCCCTCTCCTGTCTCTAACTTCTTGGACCCTGACTCACTCCAGTACATCCACACCACACTGGCTCCCTGTGTCTTCGTTTTGCAAATGGGCTCCCGCATGGGGTCTTTGCACTTGCCATTTTCTCTGCCTGGAATTCTGGAACTTCACTTTCCTCAGGTTTGCTCAATGTCACTGTCACAAAGAAGCCTTTCTTGACCAGCTCTATTAAATAGTAATCTGCATGCCCTTTTGTATTACTGCTTCTCCATGGCACTTACTACCCTCAGCCCTTCCTATAAACCTGCCTCCTCCCCCTAGAACATAAGCTCCATAAGGACATGAACTTTGTTCTGTTCACTATTACGTTAAATTATTCATATATTTCGAGGACCTAGAAGAGCATCTATTGCACATAGGCACGGGTAAATTTGTTGAATGAGTGAATGAATGAATAAGTGAATAAACAAAAATTCTGACATCAAGGATCTTTCCGAGTGTTTGCTATTTCATTATCTTGTGAAATTCTGCACTGGAATGTAGTGGGGGATATGTAAAAATAAAGGAATGTTAGGTAGAAATATTTGTAAGTAGAGGTTGTGAAGTTTAGATCTTTAGTTTTAGCGAATTTCAGTGTTTATCCTATTCTGACTATAGAGAACTGATTGATGCCAATACTTGAGTCCACTTATTACATCCTGTCAAGATTCTTCACCCAAGTGCACTTCTAATCCTCTTATGACCTAGGAGGTATTAATATACCTTTAAATAGCTGTTATGGAACTTGAGTTAATTGTTTGACTCTGTTTGGCGCTTCTGATTCTTTGGACACGTTATGTGAAGAACTATAGGACTTGTCACAGGCAAAACTTTGAAAGCGAATACAGCATATTTAGTGACTGGTATGTGACTGAGCCTTGTCAGTCCATAGTAGAGAAATTGAACATTGACCTTGATTCATATTCTCTGGATACTATTAATCTAAAAATTTATATTTCTTTGTAATCCTGAGAAATAAGGAAGTTGAATATGAGATTGAAATAATCAGGACATAAAAAAAGTGAATTTTCGTTTTCTCATTAACTTATAAAACACCATCTTTAGAGAGCAGTGAGAATAAAGAGAGATCTGTCAAATCAGTTGTTTTCCCCAGTGTAGGCAGTAGCTCGGGTTTCTCCATCTGCCCCAGTGTTTGTTAGAAATAAATATTTGAGAGATCAGGGGAGAATTAATTTGGGGGCTGGTGGTAGCTGAGAAACCATATCCTATTCACTCTGATGGCCCATTAGATGGGAGGCCTGCTGGGGGTGGGGTGAGGGGAGCTAGAGAAAATAATGAGCTCCATTTCAAATTCTCCACATGAAGTGCAGACACAGGGCACCTCCATGCATTTTTATAAATGTCTTCTGGATGCAGAAAAAGCTTCTTGAGAGATACATATTCGTGGTATAAAGCTTTTGATTGTACATTTTGCTGATATATATTTTTAGCCTTTTTATTTTGGAAAATGTCAAATACATGGAAAGTAAACAGAACAGTGTTTAAAAAGCCCAAACTGGTCTCCCAGCTTTAACAGTGGCTGAATGTTTCACCCACACATCCACCCATTTCCACTGTGTGGGGTTTTCTTTTGGAGGGGGGTGTACATACATTGAAATGTACATACCTTAGGTGTACTATTTTGTATGTTTGACAAATGGATAGGCTCATGTGACCATCACCCTTATGAAGGTATAGAACCTTTACATCACTGTGGAAAGTTCCCTCCCGCCCCCTTCCCAGGCAATCCCTGTCCCTTATCAAGAGACAACCACCATTCTAATTATTTTTATCACAGATTAATTCTGCATTTTCTAGAGCCTCGTAAAATAGAATCATGTAGCATGTACTCTTTTGTGTCTGGCTTCTTTAGCTCTGTCTAATTTTCAAAGGTTTCATCCATACTGTTCCATGTTCAGTAGTTTCTTTCTTTTTACTGTTGAGCCATTGTCCATCGTAGGAATTACTCCAGTTTGGTTTAGCGCTTCCTTCTATTGATGGCTATTTGGGTTATTTCCAGTTTTAACTATTGTAAATGAAGCTGCTACATTCCTGGACAAATCGTTGGGTGCGCACATCTTCGTATCTCTTCAGTAAATCCCCAGGAGTGGAATTGCTGGGCCAAGCGGTATGCTTATGAAGTTAAAACATTTTCCCCCCTATTCTATATAGCTGGAACCCACCACACTTAATAACATTTAATTTAAAAATTATGACATTTGATAGAGTATTACCATATACTTTCTATTAAATTCAAAGAACTTGATTTAAACTTGTTGATTTAAACAAACCTGATTGAAATCTCCCATCCATGAAAGCATTTATTTACTTTTTTTTTTCTACTTCAATGAATCTGAAAATCCGTAGGAGAAGTGGGATTAGAAATGGACTGTTCTATCTGAAGTACTCATGCTTTAAAGGCCATATTCCCAGATGGGTTAATTATGATTTCTTTCCAGGATTTTAGTAACCAAAGGGAGCTATTTCTTGGTGTTGATTACTGGTTGAAAAACACATGCCATTGTGTTGAATTTGAGTTCAGTTTGTTTGGGTGGTGGTTCTGTAATGTTTTTAATGTGATTGAACAGAAACGGCCAAATATTTTTTTGAAACAAAACTCCCCTCTCCCCTCACAGTCAAGTATATAAATATTGAACTCGATTCTCTTTCAATGTTCTGTCTGACTAGGTTAGCTGCAGCATTGTCATTCATTTCCTGGGCTTAGTGTAATGTGTCTTAGTTTCCTTTTGTCCAAATTGCCTTAGCTAGGACCTAGAAACAATGTTTTCCATCTGCTATTGGTAAAAAGTATACTTTGTAGTATT